TAGATGAAAAATGTGGTGTGCACTGCAATGCTGCAGACAGAAAATTCTATAACCGGTAAATATGTATATATGTATATTATATAAAAATTTCCTTGGACACACAAAAATTGGCCACGAACCTATCAAAATACATTTTTCTTTATTATTATTAAAATTTAAAAATGCAATCATACTTACTGGTTGTTAGGTGCTACATTTTGAAGCTTCTCCACATCATCCATATAAAGAAGGGCTACAGAAATATTCTTTTTTTATTTTTTAAGAACACAAATAATATGTACACAATCCCTGGGAATATTATTTTGTTTGATTATTTAGAATTTGTTTATTTACAACCAAACTGTCAGTTCAGGCAGAGCCAGCTTACGTATGGTTGTATTTTGTATTGCTTTTTCGCGTTTAAATCAGTCATTCTGTCAATGAATGTATTGAAATCTTGCTTACGAAAAGTTAGTTTTTATACCCTCCAACATACTATCGTAAAATAAGAAAGCAAAGTCATTTCAAATAAGATTTTTTGTAATATACAAAATTTTTTCCTTAAATACATATACATTTTTATGTAAGCTCAAAAAGATTTTTTGTAATATCCAACATTCTTTCCGTAAATATATATAAATACATAACATTCTTTCCTTAATACATATGTGTGCTCAAAAGGTATGATTTTTCAGAAAACAGACAAAAAAAAAAAATAATTTCATATCGTTATCCTGTTTTACTAAAGTATTAGCTTTCTTGGCGACGTTACCGCAATTCCGTGATTTTTTTCCGACCAAATTCGATTCTAAATCCTACCATATTGGGTCTAATCCGACCAAAATTGTAATGAAAAAAAAACAATATTTAATTTATAGAAAACTTTTATTAATTAAACCAAAAATAATATAAATTCAGTCTATTATTTCAATTCTTAAAATAAAAGCATATACAGAACTATATCAACAAAAAAAATATCTTATGTACACAGAGATTTAGGAGATCATATTCGAGATCATTTTTAATATATCATTTTTAATATATTTTCGTTCACTACAGTTAATTCGGGGTTTTTAAGTATTTTTTAGCTGACCATACAGTATGCGGATCTTTGTTCGTGATTAACTCTTTACAAAACATGTTACTGTTAATGGTATTAATTTCAAGTTTGTTTCTTAATTTAGATTTTATAAGAGATAGAGACGAAAACTTTCGTTCAGCAGCGGCTGAACTATGAGGTAGTGAAAGTAAATTAAATACAAATTTAACTAAATTCTCAAAACAGTTTTCATTCAAACCATTTTTAATAGCAGATACCCTTTTCCAAAAAAAGTCTATGCCCACATCAGGAGAAAGAGATGTCTCGCTAAGGCGCAATAAATTCCATTCCGTCACAATTAAATCTGGATCACATTCAACAAGGCTAGAAAACTCTAAAATAAGAGGCAATATATCTAAATTATCCAAAGAAATTACTTTTGAGGGCGTTATTATATTTAAAAGTTTAATGTCTTCGCGCTTAAAATCAAATCGATGTTTTAATTGATCCAAAAATTGAACATAGAAATTTAAAACGTTAGACTTAAGTTCATATATTTCAGATTCAGTTAAGTTTGCTTTTAAAAAAATTTCCGCTTTTGAACCAATGAAAATTTTTGAAATATCAATTAAATTTGTCTTATTTTTGTAATCAATTTCAACATTATTGTTTATATGTTCTCTTTTTACAAAATTGCTTAGTATTAAAAGAAAATTTGTTTTAATACTCGCATTATTTAAATTATTAATAATTGGAAGAATATAACACAAAAAATAGCATTTAACTTTGCTTGTCATTTCTTCCGCTATATGGGCTGGTTTTACTCCCTGTACTTCATAACAAGAGTAAATAAAATATAGTTTCAGACTGTCCCATTGTTCAATTATTCTTAAAACTATCTCGTTTGACACACCTCATATTTTGTGTGGCTTTACAGAGCAATAGTCTTGGAACTCCTTGAGCTCTTCAATACGTTTAGGACTATGAGAAAAATAACTGTAAATATTTCGGCAAAGACTTTCTAAAGAATTGGGTAATTGTTTGCAAGCGTAGCTTGAACAAAGATGTAGAGAGTGGCATGTACATTTTATGTAAAAGATGTCGTTTTTGTTACATAACAAAGCTTTTAATCCGCCGACCTCTCCCGCCATGACATTAGCACCATCGGTTGCTAATCCAATTAAATTTTGCATTGGAATTGAAAATGACGCAAAAAACTCCTTAATTACATTATAAATTGATATTGCATCAGCTTTTGAGATTTCAATTAAAGTCAAAAACTTATCTTGAATTCCAAAATTAGTATCAAAATAGCGCGCAACAAGAACAAGACATTTTTTTGTTGAAACGTCCGTAGTTTCATCCACAATCAAGGAAAACTTTTTTTCTTTCAGTAATTATATCTGCAATTTGAGTTGATTTTGTTCTGCCGCTTTGAATAAGTTTTTCGATTGCTGAATCAGGACAGCACTCCACCAGTAACGCTGGCAAATAATCCATTAGCAAAAATGGCAGATTGTGCGTTATACAAAACATAACTAATGACAACTCTGCATAACGAACAAGTTTCTTCTGCGCTTGGTCATCTTCTTTAAAAAAATTCTGTATTTTTAGATTTCTTTTTTGGCTGTTGTAATTTGTCACGTGAAGAGATGTCTTTTCATGTGCCTTTAGATGAGTTAAGTGACTTACCAAAGCCTTCGAACACGCCACACTAAATACTGTGCCATTTTTGTTCTGCAGCCAATCGAATGAATTCTTCCACTCTTGCCTGAACTTTCGCTTTAAATTCTGCGGAACATCATTTGCATTACTGCAGGGAAATATCACAAAAAATTGATTAAAAATGAATAATTACATGCACGAATCATCGCTGTTGTTATCTGCGGCATTTGATTCTGTTTGTTTTTGCTGCTTTGTAATATACCTGTAATAAATATTATAAAAATCATTTCAAAACTTAAAATAATTACATTTCAATACTTACTGGTCCATGTTTTCGGCTTTTTTACTTTCTATACATTTATTTTATGTTCATGTGTACCTGCTATTGTTTACATTTATTAGTCTTTAAATACCGCGAAAAAGCACAACACAGTTCAGAGGCCATAATCTGTTGACGTCGTCTAAGACTTCAGAGTAAACGACAAATGATTTTGTACATTGGCCTCGTTCCATAGATGGCGTTTCACAAATAGTAGTGATTTTGTAAAACGTGAATATTTAGAAATACAATTATGAGCAACACATTGTTAATTATGATAAAAATATATATTTAAAACTTTTATTCAAAAATCTACCAAAATCAGTTTGGACCTACCATCCGACCAATATTAAAAAAATTAAATTTGTCCTACCAAATTTGGTAGAATTCTACCAAAAAGCAACACTGAGTACAAGAGACATTTAGGATAGTGTCATTAGCGTTTTTGTAAACAATATGTTTTCAGCACAGTTTTGAAAAAAAGATATATCGACAGCTTGTTCCACGATATCGAAAGAACACGTTCGCACACCTTTTACACGACAAACAGCTGATTTTTTTTTGATTTTAGTGTAATTTCGCGATCCACTATATTTTTTTCACACCCATTCGAACACAAATGTCAAAATCAGTCACTTGTGTGATCACTTGTGTCGTCTAATTATAATTCAGGATAATTGTTTCAACATAAATATTGCTATGATTGAAAATGGAAACAAAAAGGTAAGTAAAATTGAAAAATGCAATTATAACATCTCAATAAGAAATACAATTTGTATTTCTTCAATTCCAGCACGAAAAAAGGAACAGCCCTAGTTTAGTAAAAACTTTTCGATTTTTTTTCGAAATTTTTTCCAGAGGTACGTATTTTTAATCAGATTCCGGGAAACTATTTTCTTCTTGGGGGACGGACCCGGGACCCCAGATGTTTGTCCGGGTTTAAGACCCGGATCCACTTACCCTTTATAGACAATAAAGGCATCGTTTGAAAGCTTATGAAAATACCTATCCAACTAATCGTTACTCAGAGGAGAAAATTTCAAGCCAAGCCGAAGACCTGCTACTTACAACAACTGTTAAATTTAGAAAAACATTATCTCTAGAGAGGTATTAGCACAAATTGTAGCATTATGGAAAAGTAAGAGTGTCTGTCAGCTATAATTTTAAAATAAAAACATTTCAAAAAAATGAAAAGTGTCTAGTTAATTATATGGAGGAGAATCCCGAGTTCGCCACAGAAGTGCCAATACCATCCATAAAATTTAAGCAAAAAAAGCGACAGAATGACTGATTTAAACTCGATAAAGCAATAAAAAATAAAACAATACGTAAGCTGGCTCTGCCTGAACTGACAGTTTGGTTGTAAACAATCAAATTCGAAATAAACAAACAAAATAATATTCCCAGTGATTGTGTACATATTATTTGTGTTCTTAAAAAATAAAAAAGAATATTTCTGTAGCCCTTCTGTATATGGATGATGTGGGGAAGCTTCAAAATGTAGCACCTTACAACCAGTAAGTTTGATTGTATTTTTACATTTTTGAAATAATAAAAAAATGTATTTTTCTAGGTTTGTGTCAAATTTTTTTGTGTCCAAGAAAGTTTTTCAGGAACTGTGTATGCTGGAAGATAAATCGGTCCTCGATTTCAGAACAACCCAAATATGCCCCGACTTAAAACTTGGCACATTACTGCGGTTTTTAGCCACAGGAAGCAACCAGCAGAATTTAGGGAACGAGGCCCTGATTTCAGCAGCGAAGTCTACAGTAAGCAGAACCATTGCTGAATGTCTGAGATTTTTGAGAACTACATTTGCAGCCACTAGATAAAAAAGCCGACACTCACAGAGGAACGCAACACAATGGAGGCTTTCTATGAAAGAACAATGTCCCCTGGAATTATTGGATGCGAATAAAAAAATTATTGAATAAAAAAATTGCAATAAATTGTAAAATAATAAGATTTTTTTTATTAAAATAAAGATTTATGAATTCAAAAAGTTGTTGAAATTACTATTATTGTGCTATTTTGTGGGTTATTTTGTACAAAAATTGATAATTGATTATTTTGATTTAAAAATCTTTGTTTGGGCCTCGGCACAATTTGCCAGCCTCTCGCAGCGTCAGCCATCCTTTTGCTCCTTGGCATTTGTTTTTTTTTTTGGCTACGGTGTGGATGGAACATCTTGTTGTGATGTGATTTGAATGGGGGTAATTTTTGTACGGTTTGATGTTTCTAACGCACGCAGCTGTGTAGTTGATGTTTTTTTCGTGCTGGAATTGAGGAAATAAAAAAAAATATATGTTTTGTTGACATATTATAATTGTAATTATTATTATTACTTACCGTTTTGTTTCAAGTTTTAATCAAACAATATATATGTTGAAACAATTTTCCTCAATTGTGTTCGCATGCCTGTGAAAGAAAAAGTAAATAATAGTGGAACGCAAAATTACACTGAAATGCTTACGTTTTCGGCTGTGAGTGACTAACTTTCGTTTGCACAATTTTTTTTCGATATCGTGGAACAGGCTGTAAATATGTATTGAAATTTTTTCTTTCAAATGTATAAATGTATTAGAATCTTGCTGACGAAAAGTTAATTTTTATACCATCTACCATACTATCGTATAATGAAGAAAGTAGTCATTTCAAATAAGCATATTCATCTCTGCCATTTTTGTAACATACTCTGACAAATTACTCTGTATAGACCACAGTTTCCCATCGCTGATTTGTGTATATACAATGGATTTGTTAATAAATATTTTGACGATGAAAAGTTGTCAAATGAGTTAGAGTTGAAAAAAATGTAAACATATGATTGCATGACTTTACCTTCTTAATTCTACCATGTACCATACTATGGTATATTAACATTGTCATTCCGTTTGTAACTCCTCAAAATACTCATGGTAGGACCAACTATTGACTTTACGATCTCGTCACTTGGGTAAAAAAAGTTTTTTGTCATAGCAGTTATTTTTAAAATAACTTTTGGGTAGAATATCCGAGACATAAAACCAGGATACTGATGAGGATTGGTCGCTTTTTCCGAAACCTAGGTATTCCCTGCCTTACCCCCTGGTAAACATTACCATCGTTCTCCACTAATAAAAAACGTTTCTTTAAAAAAACAACTATAATGGGATTAAGCCTGTCCATTTTGCAACAACAAAAAGTAGATAATATACTCTTCGTTTGGTCGGCGTAAAATTCTAAGTTCATTTATCTGTTGTATTCACGCTATCTTTCGAGCGAGTTAAAAAAGATATTTTGCACACATGTGTATTATACCAGTAGACAGGTAAGTTCGTAATTGAGCCAAATCGTTTTCGTATTGCCCATCCAAATGTACCTCCCGATATTGGGTATTTTGACGATTTAGATCATATTTTCAAGCAGATATGTTAAAATCCGGCACTTAGAATTAGTGACGGGTTGCACCTCCTGTTCCTGAACATTGCCATATACGTTTTCCTATAGCGCCCATATAACAGTACTTTCCGATATTCGGTATTTTGACGAATTTAACCACATTTTCAATCGGAATTGTATAAAATTCGGTACTTAGCGCTTGTAACGGGTTCCATCTCCTATGGCAGAATATTGTCTAAATAGGTTCTCGTTCACCTTCTCATCTATTTTGTCGATTTATATCACATTTTGTAGCAGAATTGGTTAAAATTCGGCGAATATATTTGAATTTGGGACTAGCAATACTAGTAGACAACAACCAGCAGCAGCAGGAAACAAGAAGCATCGACTTTTTGGCGTTTAAATGCAAAAACTTATTTTGACCTTTCATAGGTTCATGTTTTCTTATACATTTCAACATTCGACATTAATAGACTATTTTACATATTTCAAAATGGTGGAGGGCATTATGTTTGGCCCGGCTGAACTTAACTGCTTTTTTTTTTTTTTTTTTTTTTTCAAAAAGGACACATATAAATAACATAAATGTAGTATTCTGAATTGAAATCTTGTCGCATGAACAGTCATTTATAGATACAAAAAGCGATTAGCATGGTATATGGTACAAAAAAGGTGTTCTTGCTAATTTTTAATAAAGTATTTAATTGTTTGCTATTTTTTACATTAATACATGTTGAAATGTTATAAGGTAAGAAAAGAACGTTTTGCATCACCTTACGCGTCGATACAAGAACGACTAGGCTGTAGGAGAATAAATAATAGCAATTTAAAAAAATCTTATAACTTTGTGTAAAACATATCAATAACCCCAATCAAATTGTAAGTACGAGACAAGGGGACATCCCAGTCACCGATTTTTATTAGTTCAATAGTTTCTCGTTTTGCGTCATAGGTACAAATTAGTTCCCAGTAGGGAATTAAACTTGAATTTTGATTATTGTTTGTTGCTGGTCTCAGGTAATGTTAACGGATAAATTCGCTTAATGTAGCATTCATCGACGTTATTTACAAATCATAAAAAATTCTCGTTTTGAGTCATAGGTGAAAAGTTGTTCTCAGTAGGAAATTAAACTTGAGTTTTGATTTTTTTTGGTGCTGGTCTTCGGGTAATATTAACGGATCAGTTCGTTTAATGTAGCTTTCATCAACTTTATTTATAAATATTGGCTTCAATAAATTATTATAGATGGTACGGAAGCAATTTATTTAAAACATACTAACATCAAAAAGTGTATCGGCATGCTTTTCAAAAATTACTTGTGGAGATGAAGGAGAAATATAACTGCAAATTATTCAGCTTGGAATAAAATAAAAAAATAATTTTCTCATCACTACAGCCAATTGGTTTTGTGGTATGATGTTAAATGAAATAAGTAAAAAAACATTAAGTTCGGCCGGGCCAAACTTTTAATACCCTCCACCTTAGGGTAAAAGAAACATTAGAAGAAATGTGGCAAAAACCATTAAAATTCCGAATATCGGGAGGTACCGTTATATGGGGGCTACACCAAAAGGTGGACCTATAATTACAATGTTTTGCCACACGAACTAGAACCCATTATGACCCACAAATACCAATTTTTAGACAAATCAGTGAAAAAATGTGGCAAAAACCATCAAAATACCGAATATCGGGAGGTACCGTTATATGGGGGCTATATCAAATCATGGACCCATGCATGCAATGTTTCGCCACCGAAGCTGGAACCCATTATGACCAACAAATACCAATTTTCAGACAAATCCGTGAAGAAATGTGGCAAAAATCATCCAATTACCGAATATCGGGAGGTACCGTTATAAGGGAGCTTTACCAAAACGTGGACCTACACATGCAATGTTTTGCCACACGCTCAGGGACCCAATCTGACCCACAAATACCAATTTTTAGATAAATCAGTGAACAAATGTGGCAAAAACCATCAAAATACCGAATATCGGGAGGTACCGTTATATGGGGGCTATACCAAATCATGGGCCCATACATGCAATGTTTCGCCACCGGAGCTGGAAACCATTATGACCTACAAATACCAATTTTCAGACAAATCCGTGAAAAAATGTGGAATAAATCATCAAAATACCGAATATAGGAAGGTACCGTTATATGGGGACTATACCAGAACGTGGACCGATATATCTCATTTTCAATACCAACCATCCTAGACACAATGCAAATAGCTCTGCTAAATTTTGGCCCTCTACGTCAAATAATGTGGGCTGTATCGTGATTTCAACAGACAGACGGACAGACAGACAGACGGACATCGTTAAATCGACTTAGAATTTTATGCTGATTATGAATATATATACTTTATGGGGTCTAAGACGAATATTTAAGGATGTTACAAACGGAATGACAAAGTTAATATACCCTCATTTCCAAGGTGGAGGGTATAAAAAAACAGTTTACAAATTGTTGAATGAAAAAAAGAACGAAGAATTCTAAATAAACGATAATTTGGTACCGTTTGCTATGGTACAGTGCATCATTCTGCAGAATTACATACCTTCTGTTCATCGACTTTATTTACAAATATTGCCTTCAATAAGTTATTATAGATTTTACCGATGAAAAATACTAACATCAAAAAGTGTATCGATATGCTTTTTTAAAATTACTTGCGGAGATAAAGGAGAAATATAACAGCATAGTATTCAATTTAATTAGCAAGCGTTGGCAACTTTTGTCATAAGCCATTACAATATTCAAACGCGAAACTTGAAAAAAATTCCGTGAATAATGTAGCTAAAATCATCAAAATACTGAATATAGGGAGGAACTATTATATGGGGGCTATACCAAAACGAGGACTTGCACACACGATTCATAGGCTGTAGTACCCATTACGAACTTAAAATACCAAATTTTAATCGATTCCGGTGAATAATGTCGCTAAAATCATCAAAATACCAATATCGCGAGTTACCGTTATATGGGGCCTATACGAAGCCATAGACCTACACATTTAATTTTCTGTCTTACGAACTTAAAATACCAAATTTGGAACATTTCCGGTGAATAATGTCGCTTAAATCTTGGCACAAATACAAATTTTGTTAATGCCAATGGATAGTAGACTTCATAAGCTTTCCGTAGATACCCATATTGTACCGGCAGAATTGTCCTGGAAGGCATATTGGCCAATGGAGTTATCCTGTTCCAAGGATACCTCCTGAAATGACCATATACCTCGGAACTGGCCGGACCTTCCTATAATTTTGTTAATGCCAATGGATAGTAGACTTCATAAGCTTTCCGTAGGTACCCATATTGTGCCGGCAGAATTGTCCTGGAAGGCACAGTTTGATGTAAACTTGTCTGGCACATGGTATTGTGCTACGAGTTTATGGGTGTATGTTGCCTTACAATCTTTGGAATATAATTTAATTATGATTATATAATGCATTTTGTTAGCGTTTTTATACGATAAGTAATTAAAAATCAAAAATATTGAGGAAAAAACAATTTTTATGTAGCTCTGTTAAGCTAGCATAGCTAAGTTATTTTCTCTGTTAAATTCGTGGCTCTAGTTAAATTCGGAATTTATCGTAACGGGCCTATATACTTTGTGGGGTCTCAAATGTATATTTCGAGGTGTTACAAACGGAATGACAAACGTAATATAAACTCCGTACTATGGTGGAGGGTATAAAAACAATTTAAAAATGACAAAACAGACCAAAAAATTCTAAATAAACGATAATTTTGCACCGCCTGCATTTGCTATGGTACAGTTCCTGGACATCATCGATTCCTGCAGAATTACATCCCTTCTGTACAATGGCGGAGTGGGAATCTGCGTCCAATTCCAAGCCAATGAGATGTTGTTTCGGGGTGTCTGGTTCATCTAGATCTTGTTGCGGAAAGTAGAATGATGAGCCTTTAAGTAGCGGGTCCGAATGTCGCATATGAGGCAAGTCACCTGTTATCAATGCATTGATCTTATGGTGTGAGAGGAGAGGCAATTATTTCGCGGAAGATTTCGATTTGTTTGGCCTTATGGTGCGTTACATGTAAACTTTTGGAAGCGTCTCTTAAAAATTTAAGTATTTTGGTAAAACCTTTTGAAAGTTTTGAGCTTTTTATAATTTTTGGCTTGATTTGTGGCTTCTTCGTATATTGTGCGAAGTAGAACTTGCTTTTGGCTAACTTTTAGGGAAACTTTTGCTTTATTGTTTCTTATAGTAGTAGAGATATTTTAAAAACCTTGATATGTATATCAGAGCTTTAGATGCTCTAGTCAAGTATAACGAACACTTCAAAATAAAGTTTGGTGATTAATTACATTTCCATACTTTAAAATCCCATCTTATTGAATTAGAAAACATATGGGAAAAAGTACAGCAGAAGTTTGAAAGAGGCTGTGACTTTATGATGGCGCCAGTCATTAAATATCATAGTAGTTATTATTGTCATTTCAAACGAGTTCTTTTCAATTTCAGTTTAAATCAGTAAAATATATTTTAAAATTAATTTAAAAATTATATTTAGAAAAAACAAGTAAAAAAGCAATAAGTTCGG